CAGTCCACATAGCCTTTAATAAACCCTGCTACTCTACCAGTCCATGTAGCCATTACTAAACCCTGCTACTCTACCAGTCCAGGGCAAAGTGAAATTAATCAAGTACAGTGGAACACAAAGTACGGGTATGTATTCTGATAAGACACAATCTTGCATAGTTACATGCATTGTCATTGTCTGAACCACACGTGTATTCATCCATACAGATGTATGTACTATGCAGGGATAAGAAATACCTCGCATACAAAATACACTTTCCCGCTGCTCATGGCCTATGTCTTATCAAGTTAAGATAACTCAGGCTGATTCTCTGAGGCTGATTATTCTACAGTGCTGCTCAATGACATCTGGTCTCATCAATAAACCAGTGTTGTCCTGCACCAGTACACAGTACACAGTGCATGTATACTACTAGTATTTGCAGGTCTGTGGCTAGCTGCACAGCACCCACTGCTAGCTGACTCAAGATGCCGGGGGGGGGGGATCATACAACAGTATTGTACATGGACCTCATTGAGAGCACACTAACCCAGTTTTTGCTTGTACTTTTCCACTTGAGTTTCATAGTCTCGCTGCAAAGGACACACACATACAATACACACATGCACACATGCAGTCACGCACGCACACGCACGCACGCGCACACACACACACACACACACACACACACACACACATTCACACAGGATGATGTGATGACAAGAGAACAACTCACGGATATACTAGTACAATCGTGTGTCAAGAGTCAAGACTGTTGACTGAAGAACATCATAACACACACACAATGCACTGCCAGTATGCACTGCCAGTACTGCCAGTATGCACTGCCAGTAATGCCAGTACGCACTGGCAGTACTGCCAGTATGCACTGGCAGTACTGCCAGTATGCACTGCCAGTATGCACTGCCAGTACTGCCGGTATGCACTGCCAGTACTGCCAGTATGCACTGCCAGTACTGGCAGTATGCACTGCCAGTATGAAGTACATGTACATTCATTCACTAATGTCACAATGCTAGTATTATGTAAATGTTAAAGAACGAATTATACATGACAAGTAGTTTTTTTCTTATGGTGTTCGTACTGAGTGTACAACTCACTCTATTCATTGCATTAATAATGTGACATCATTCAATAACGTGGACATCATTCAATATTCAATAATGTGGACATCATTTAGGAGAGATGTAAACATTACTCACCACACGCCGTCGCAAAATATCAAGTTCATCTTGCAGTGCTGTGTCATCCTTTACCTCCTCCAACAGATCATGGTTCTGAACATGAATACCAATACATGCACACAAAGTCACTAACACAAACGCATCACGCGGCAAAGACCAGCAACTTTGAAGTAAAAAGAATGCCTCAAATAACCCCAAGACATGGCAGAATAGACCAATCCCGAAAAGATTGTCTGGGTTCGTGAAAGGGGGCACGCGTGCAAGCCAGCTCGTGTGAAGTGCATCGTTTTTAATTCAGTTTGTGTGTGTCAGCTCATGGCGGAGGGGAGAGAGACTTTTGCTCGCCGAGCTGAAGCTAAAGGATTTGATGGAGTCCTGCAAGTAGTTAGTCAAAGGACATTCAGTACCTTAGGCAGACCCTGACGGAGTTTGAAGGCCAGCTAGCTCTCGGTGAGGAGAGAAACATTCGCGTGGCGATCGACTCTCCGTAAAAAATACAAGCTACATAGCGCCGACATACCGTAACAGCTACGATTTCAACGTACTTCTCGATCTGCTGCTTCACAAAGTTCAACTATTTACAAGTCCTGACTATTGTAGTCTGAAGCTGGAGTCTCATCGCCCACATACAGGTAGCTTTTGGAGCTGATGGATTTCCCGACTTGGACTTCTTCCGCAAACTCTCGCAACATTACTACAGTGTATGCTGTGTTTCCGCACGCTCGTGGCGACATGTCACCTATCCTGTATATGTACCGGGTCGCGGAGGCGGAGGAGCTTGACGACCTCCGCTGACTCCAGGTTTCCGAAAAACTGCCGTCGTCTTCGTTGATATCGCCTTCTCCCCTTGCAGGACCTGCGCATAGTTGTCGTCCCGTGGGTAAAGACTATGTTGTCTTTCGAAATAGTTCTTCATCACGCTCGCGAGAATGATGCTTCTCATCATGAACTCGTTCCGACGGTGTGACACGGCGATGGTCTTTGGCGGGGCACTGGCTTGGCGAAAACGCTATCTTCTTGTGCAATATAACATTGATCGGCTGCAGATGAGTACAGTCACTTCGTGGTTGGTCCTATAGGAGGGCACCTGCCAGGAAAGAGGCAGGACTCATCGAAGACGAAGCGCTCGCAACAAATAGCACTCGAAATATCTCGTAAGATTTTGGTCCCATCGCTTTGAGCCACAGCGCTCACAGCCTTGCCTACTTCATCAAAGTGAGCTCTACATGTTCGTTGACCTCTTCACACTACACAGAAGAGCGAAACAAGGGTTATGTCTTAGCATTTCGACTCCAACAGCAGACCATTTACCAGCGCGAGAGAGAAAACTACAAAGGGCTTTGCTTTCTGTCGCATCGTCTCTCTTGCATGCAACTAACGAGAAAACCGTGTACTTACCCACGCATTCACACGCGAACTATCAAACACGTCCTGTGCCGCATGCTGATCAGGTAGTGCCATGTATGTGTTGTACAGTGTACTCTCAGTTGACATGCCCCCTTTCGAACCCAGACAATCTTTTCGGGATTGGTCTATTCAGAAGAAACGCACACATGCATGCTCCCCCCCCCCCCCCCCCCTCTCAATACACACCATTGGACCATTGGACGCCCATCGCCGGAGGCGATGATAGCAATGCTACAGCAGAAGCCATAGCAACTTGTGCTGGGATTGCACCATTCAGCAGCTTGCAAGGCTGAAGAATTGACCGCCACTATTCAGCCTGGTCTACACCACACAGCAATACACACACACACACACCATACTAGGACATGTGTACCAGTACATACCTGCTGGCGAAGCTGACGTATTGTTTCCTCATGTCTTTCACTAGATTTTCGAAATTGATCTCGGGCTACAATTGACAGACAGACAGACAGACAGACAGACAGACAGACAGACGGACGGACAGACAGACACACACACACTTGTACTTGCTTGCTGCCAGAAACTGGTCATGTGGGTCTCCCCTGGGGGGGGGGAGAGATAGATTCAAAAGGAAATTTGGGAAGATGACTTTGTTACGTTTAGTTCACTGTTCCGCCCATGTCACTGGCACCTTTCATGCATTGCTTGCACGCGCGTTTTACATGCCCGCGCCTGTGTGGCTGCATGTGTCGCGTGACCGATGCAAATCACTCCAGATTCCCACGCTGCGCACGTGGAGGCTTGTAGTACTGCGTGTTTCGGTTTTATTGGTCTGGCTTTGTCTACCAGTTGTGTTTTGCTTTGCAGTTCGCGCGGTGTGTGTTTTCTCTTGGAAGTGTATTCCATTCTTGTGTTCTTGCTTTATACGTTGTAGTGGTGAGAGTTGAAGTTGGTTTCTGTCAACACTGAAAGTGTCCATCGGTGCGTGGTGAAGATTCTTGCGTAGTTTGTTTGTGAGAGTGCGTTCTGAGCATTCTAGAACGAACCCTAATCGAAAGTAACAGACTTAATTAATTGGCTATTGAAGCGGCTGACAACCCCCAAATCCTAAACCTACAGGGGGACTTGAAAAAAAATAACCCCACTTACAGGCTCACAACACCTCAGTAAGTAGGTGATGACAAGGTGCAGAAAAAATAGTTGACGGTATCAGGGTATCCGTCACCGGATCAAACTGCCTTTACCCCTGCCCCCAGTGAAGGTAGGACTTGCTACTACAAGCATAGCAGTAGATGTGGCTAAATCAGACTGGAGCTGATAACTACAGGCTACACTAGACAGGGAGAGCCTGCAATACATTCCAGTAAGGTGCATACCGCAAAGTCGTGTATATGACTTTTTTGGGGAAATTTTGCAGGCTTCTACTGTAAATATACAAAATTTCGGCGCTGCAAAATTTCGGCACTTCACGATTTTTGACATTTCGACAGCGATTTATTTTCGGCGTGGGGTAGAGGGCATGGTATAGTGCGACAGATGCTGTGAAAAATTTCATCAACGTTTTAATTTAGGCGTTTTGGGTCGGTGCCGAATATAGCCGAAATTAAATAGCTGCCGAAAATTTGTATATTTACAGGATATGAGACAGGCTTCTATACAAGACAGGTATTTCTATGTATGTCAACACTAAAACCAGGCTTATGTGCTGCCAGTGTGTCTTGAAAATCAGGCTTGTATTCAAAACAGGCTTCTATATCAGACAGGCTTTAATACAATACACTACGGTACATGTACTACACACATGTACATCAATAATGCATCTACGATTCTACGTGTATCCGAAGAACACAATATAAAAATGAATATATTGCATTACATGGCATCATGATTCATGGCACTATTACTAGTATGACAAAAGACATACCTAACTCGGCTTCATCTCTCTCAGATCCCAGCTCAATCACACGTTGCTGGAGTTCTTCCAATTGAACTTTCAATCTGAAAGCCAAACACACTCACACACACACACACAGTCACACGCACGCACACGCACACACACACACACACACACACACACACACACACACACACACACACACACACACACACACACACACACACACACACACAGTCACACGCACGCACACACGCATACAGATGTACTTGTACTTGTTCACTGCCATAAGTTGATAACTGGTCACGTGGGTCGCCCCTTGGGAGAGGGGAGAGAGACTCAAAAGGAATCTTGGAAAGATGACTCAAATGGCTATTGAACCGCCCAGCGACCGACATCCCCTGAAATCCCTAAACTATGGGTGGACTTGGAAATGATCCCATTTATGGGCTCACCACACCTCAGTAAGTGGGTGAGGACAAGGTGAAGAAAAAGGATAGACGGCATCAGGGTATTCGTCCCGGGATCCAACTGCAGTTACCCCTGCCCCAGTGAAGGTAATACTTGCTACTAGTGTGGGTGGCTAAATCAGAGTGGATCTGAAACGAGAGAGCTTGGAAGCTCAGGGCCCTACGCTATGCTTTTTTGCCTTGATGACCTGGACAAAAAAAAAGCATAGGGATGTTATAAATTCTTTAAAAAATTCCTTTTTTTTAAAGACATAACCTGGGATTCGAACCCGCACTATCGCGCGCCCTGCATGCATCCCCCGATACACTTCGCATACATACTAATTCTTCCAAGTTGTTTCACATTGTGATCTTGCATTTGAAAGCCCTATTTGAATATGCATTGTGGCCAGCCGTCTTTGATGGCACGGTACGGTAGGGGATAGGTACGGGACAGGTACGATCGAGGGTAATACGACACCGTCTCCCGTACCGTACCGTACCATCAAACACAGCTGGCCACATACAGCTGCCTGCAATATTAAAATAGGGCTTTCAAACGCAAGATCATAACGTGAAGCAACTTGGAAGAATGAGTATGAATGCGAAGTGTATGGGGGAATGCACGTAGGGTGATCGTGCGGGTTCGAATCCCAGGATATGCCTGAAAAAAAAAAGGAGAATTGAACAATTTATAACATCCTATGCTTTTTTGCCGTCAGATACGGATAGCGCCAGGCGTGACACAAACAAACAAACACACAAACACCAAATTAAAGCTGTGTGGACCCTGGCTAGCGCCAGACGTTACTGAAGTAACGTCTTCTGCATAGCTACGGGAATAAGCTTCACTAGCACCATTGATTACACAAGAGTTACTCTAGCCAGAAGTAGTCCATGGTTAACAGGTATGTATCGCTCATACCCACATGTACATGTATTACTAGTACTTGAAGTAACCCTTTGCGTGCTGAGTACGAGTTAACTCACACTTTATGCAGGGCATGCGCTAAAGATTAAAATGTGCTCAGACACAATGTCCTGCCAGTTGCAAAAATGGCCGGACATGTCCGGAAATGCAAATTTTCACATCAAATCGCACAGTGTTCAGTGTAGAATTATTACCATCAAAATGTTATCATGATGTGAAAAGAGTCCGACCTTGGCTGCTGCTGCGTCGTCAAGTTTGCACAAGGCTCGAGCGATTGGCGCATACTCTATTGGGTTTCCGCTTGACTCACGGCTCCTTGCCAAACAATGCCATGGCACGGCGATGCATTTCAGAAGCAGCATGATCTTTGTAGGCTGATGTTTTCAGGTGCCTTGAGCCAACGACAAAGGAGTCAGAAAAATTCTTGATACTGCGAATTTTATCAGCAAAACGGGAACACATCTTACACTTCAAATTTTCGACAACGCTACGATCTGAGGGACTGCGCTCATACTCATAGCTCAGCCAAACAGAAGTAAATTGAAAGCTCCCTATCATACTCAGCAACCCACTTGTCACAAGTGGTCGTCTTGACTGCTCTGGGCTTCTTTCCAAGCTGAGCACCCGGAGTCAGCCGTGCTTGGCTTTCTCTTGCCAGACGACATCACTAATGACTATGAGACAAAGGATTGACGTGCCTTTTCTTTTTTGTACTTTGCAAAAAAAGTGTGCGGACACTTTGTCCGGATGTGTACAAAAACATCCGGAAACTGACCGTAAACGGTCGGAAATTGTCCGATGTCCGACCGTTATTTCGCGCCCTGCTTTATGCATGATCTGATCCACTACGTACGAGTTCACTCGCACATGAGTCTATGTGGAATCCACTCTTCGCTTTGGGCCGCCAGTGGATCGCCTTGAGTTCCAGGCGTAGATCTACGGGTAGTGTCTCGATACGTCAGAGATACGTCGGAGACCCTGGATGAGCCCAGCAAGTGGCTGGGGGTGCGCCAACACGCGCGTGCGAGATTCGATTTTTGACAATTTGTTTGGTTTTGAGCAATTTCATTTTCGCTCTTACCTCTCTGCCATCTCTGGCGCTGCGATGGCTCATCATGTCTCTGCTGAGGATGCTATTGAGCAAATTTTCATGGACTCCGACTCCGAGGGTGAGCCTGACGATCTCTGGGAGCTGGACAAACATGCGCTTGATGAAACAAATTTGAGCAGTGACGACGACGGCGACTTGGAAGAAAGCGCTTTGGATTTGCTTGCGGATGCAGCGGCTGCTCTCCAGGATGAGCCTAACACTGAGGTGCCGTCGCCGAGTGATGGAGGTGCCGTCACCGAGTGATGGAGGCGATGTCAATCAAGGTACAGTGGGTGCAGAATGAGATGCTCCCGCGCCATGAAAAGTGCTGAAGTAAGGTATTGGATTTTTTCGAAATTTGCAGATCACGCTGTGGCGAGAGGTGATGATGACGATGTGGAGACTGGTCATCACGATGCTGTTGTTGATGCCCAGATTCAAATCCAGGACGCTGAACAACCTGGCACTGGTGAGTGAGAGCTGGTGGTCGACAATGGTTTGGTTGTACTGATACGTACTCATGTGTGTCCAGAATATTTTTTCTCGTTGCTGAGTATTTTTTGAATTTTGTTTCGTGCATTTTTGTAGAGGGAGAGGACGCAACGGATCAGGATGATGGTGATGAGGATGATGAACCTGGGGATTTGTGCAGCCAGACCTGTGTTCATCAAGCTGACAATTTGACTGCCGCACTGGATGATACGTTGTGGACAAGTCGCAGCGACGCAAACTGTGGCCTGCAGTTCACTGTGTAGCCGGGTCTTGGCACACCACCGCCAGCTGATGCTACTGTGGACTATTTCGTGCGGCTATTTCTTCCTGATACAGTATTTGAGCACATAGTAGTGGAAACAAACAGATATGCTCAGTAGTATCTTGCATCGCACACACTCTCCAGATATGCCCGCGCCAGCAGATGGAAGCCTGTCACAAAAGCCGACCTGAAAAAATTATGGCAATTTATTTCCTCTCCGGCATTGTGCGCAAGTCACAATTTTTAGGTCAGTACTGGTCTAAAAATTCATGGAGCCAGACACCAGGATTTCAGGATTTCAGCGCATCATGAGCAGTGAGCGGTTCCTGTGTATTCTGCAGCTTCTTCACTTTGCGGATAACACTGTGGCTGAGCAAGGTGACCGTCTCGCCAAGCTACGTCCGCTCACCGACAAGCTAGTCAGCCTCTTCGAGTCGCTATATGTGCCACAGCAGTACATCAGCATTGATGAAGAGCTGGTGCTATACAAGGGGCGCCTACTTTTCAAACAGTACATTCCCAGCAAACGGGTTTGATTCGGCATGAAAGTGTTTGCGCTGTGCGATACCATCGGCTATTTCTGGAGTGCATCGATTTACATCGGTCGTCCTGCCAACCCACTCCCGCTCACAGCCCAGCTAGGTTCCATACGCGTTCCATAGGGGCAAAAGTGATTCACCTCCTTGGCAACTTGATAGGAAAGGGCTTTCACTTGTACGTGGACAACTGGTATACTTCTTTGGAAGTAGCCACTTACCTCCACGCGCGCCCCAGCGGCATTTGTGGTACCTTGAGAGCAAACCGACGAGGGATACCCCCAGAGCTGAAGACATTGGTTTTGCCGAAGTCTCGCTACGCACACAGGAGGAAGGGACCCCTCCAACTCATCAAGCTGCATGATAAGAAAGTAATCTTCCTGCTATCGACTGTACATAACGTTGACGTGGTCAGAACGAACAAGCGGACCTGTCAAGGCCAGCACATAAAACGACTTCGCGGCAACCATGAGTACAACAGCAGGATGGGCGGTGTGGACAAGAACGATGCTATGGTGACTGCCTTCACTGCTTTGCGGAAGACCATCAAATGGTACGTGAAGGTAGGTATTCATTTCTGTGAAGAAGCCCTCCAGAATGCATCCGTTACGTACAAACAGCATGGTGGACAAGCACAACACCATGCCTTCATCCAGAAAGCCGTCGAAGTCCTGGTGCAGGATGCGGAGGCTGATGCTGCGCCTAATGCTGGTGTCACTGGCCATGATCGTTGTGTAGGGCGCCACAACATGGAGAAGCACCCAGCCAGTGACAAGAAAGATGTTGTTACGCAGCGATGTGTGGTTTGCCGTAAACACGGCCGGTGTGTCGAATCCCGGTACCGATGCCGGACCTGCCACAACCCACCGTCGCTCTGTGCTGCTCCTTGCTCCGAGGAATATCATGAAAAGGCAGAGTACTAACAGCCAGATGTGTGGTGTACACTCCTCAGACATTGCTTGTAAATATTTGCCCATATATAAAGCTAAACACACCAGATACATCATGTACAAATATATTGTAAATTTCTGTAAATTCACGCTGAAATTCCAGTTTTCGGCAATTTTTTTTCTTTTTTCCCTAGCCTTCCAGTGGTCTGATTGATCTCAAACTATCAAACTATATGTGTGACCTTCTTACCCTTTACTCTTGGAGTTCCAACAACAAATACTATAGATTTCAGACTTTTCAATTTTTCGGATTTTGGTCCAAACTGCTCAGTCGACAGGGGCAAAAGGGGTCAGCATGCAAAGGGTTAAAGCAAAGGACCAGGTGCATACCTGTTTGTCGTATCAGGGCCGTCAGTGACATCTTGCTGCTGCTGCTGCTCTTGCTGTGTGACAAGACGTTGGTTATCTGCAGCCAGAGCTTCGCGCTCTTGCTCAAGTGAATTCCTCTGAGAACAATGGAAGGGAGGAAGCCAAAAGTTTAATATCACATGGCAATGCTGTGTTTGATAGAAGTACTGGAAAGCACTGGAAACAACTTCCCAACAGTCGGGAACAACAGCGGATGGGATGGTTCATACTCCATAGCCCATCCCGCATACACTGCTGTACCAACACACAACATTCTCACCCTCCCTCCCCCATCCATGCACAACAACAACAACAAAACAACAACACAAGAGTCTCCTCTGTGCATAACGACGACGACAATAACAACAACAACAATCTCCATCGATGCACAACAGCAAAGACCACTCTCGGATTCTCCCCCACCCCCGGCACTACCCCCCCCCCCCCCCCCGGCACTTCAACAGAAATAGGTTGTTGAACAAACCTCGAATTCAAGCTGCTTGTTACGTTCCTCGAGCTTGCGGTTCGCTGCACACACTTCAGTGAGCCTAGTTTTCAGCAACTGTAACAACAACATTAGAAATGACAACATTAATGATGAGACACACTCCGAGCTCGTACCACCACCGCCGCCGCCACAACCAGCACCACCACCACCACAACCAGCAGCAGCAGCACCACCACCACCAGCAGCAGCAGCAGCAGCAGCACCACCACCACCACCACATCCATCACCACCACAACCAGCACCAGCACCAGCACCAGCACCAGCAGCACCACCACCACCAGCAGCACCACCATCACCACCAGCACCAGCATCACCACCACAACCAGCACCATCACCATCACCACCATCACCACCACAGCGGCAGCAACAACAACAGATACATCAGCTGTTCTGGTTTCGGTACACTCAAAACATGATCTGGTTGTTTGAGACCTCGATCATGAACGACCAAATCAGTTTTCTACTTGTGCCAATGTCATTTTGGTTTAGGACATTTCTTCAGTGTGATGCTGTGCATACCTCATTAGAATCAGATGTACTTTCACTCTCCTGTAAGCCAAAGCAGGCAGTAGGAAGACGCTTCTGCAGCTGAGAATACACAAGACAAATGAGAGGGCATTGGTGATGACTGCACATTCATCACAAGTCAGAAAACATGGCTATGGCCACGGTGGCCAGATTGGCTATGCAGTGAACACATCGCTTGCCAAGGACAGTGAGCTGGTGCTGCTGCACTGTAGAAATCTCTACTCCGAATCCTCAAACATCCAAGGAAATGAATGTAATCATCAGACTGGAGGCTATTTTCCACGTGATCCATATGTATGTGCAATAAAGCTCTGTAACGCCATGAGCATTCAAGCACTTTGACCTGTGGCTGAGGTTCCTTTGTATATCCCAGGAACTACCGTACTATGACTACTAGTATAAGAAGCTGAAGAAACCACCAGTCTTTGGACACAAGTCAACTCACGCACTAGGCTCTCCAACCGTCTTGGAGACCAGGTAAAGGGGAGCTCCAGTGAAACAATTGAAACTTCAATGTAGAAGTTGGGCTGCTACATCGAATGGCCTCAGTCAGAGGAGGCTGTGGAGAATCATTTCGTCAGTCTCCAATCAAACGTGCACATAGATTGCAACTCATTCCAGTCAATCAAACAATACTACAATGTGCATGTTGCTAGGGAGATGACCAGAATGGAGAATTTCAAAGCCGGTTCAATTAATTGGGGAATTGTGCATTGCAGCTCCTTCGAACAAAGACCACTTGGTCAGTACTCAGAGCATGACTACAACAATGATAAGACAGTGGAATTGGTATCACCCAGGATACATGTAGGCACCCTTGTCTCCATTCCTACAGTGTTTACCTCGTGAAAAACATCCATTATCGACTTCTGCACTGACTGCTCCAATTGCTGGATTTGCATTATGTCAGCTAGGCAAGCACACAGGTGACACACAGCAGGAACAGCAGCAGTGGTAACAACACCAAGGGATCACACACACACACACACACACACACACACACACACACACACACACACACACACACGCACGCACGCATGCACACGCACACACACGCATGCACGCACGCACGCACACACACACACACGCACACACACACACGCACACACACACGCACACACACACAAACACACACACACACACACACACACACACACACACACACCTCTGTCAGCAGAATGTCACTAAACATTCAACATGCCAAGCACCTTCCACTCCCATTGCGTGCTGACAAGTGCCATTTTTGCAGCGCAAATTCGATTGGGCAGTTCAACTGGTCAAGAAAACTGCTGCAAATCATACGTATTTCCAGATCTTTTGAACTAGTTGGTCATGCAATATTCTGCAGCATATGTCAGAAACGAAACGAAACGGCGCAGATGCATCCCCCAGCGCACTCAACCCTCTCTGTAGCTGACAAGAAATGTCATAGCCCCAGCTGCACTATACTTAACCCTTTAAAGGCCAGCCATACAAGTTTCAAACATATATGTTCGAAACTTCAAGTTCAAAAGCCTACTTTTTGGGTTTCCTTGGGTTCTCAGCCTCGATTTCGGCTGGACTCGATAAAGGAGGGATGTATCTTTCTAACGGTGTATGATAAGTGGGTGGTTCGTAGAAAAAAGTTCCCGAGAAGTCGTGACGAATTTGTGTTGTTCCGCGGCGCGAACGATCACGGTGAAAGTAGGAAGTGTAGTGCCATGGCAGAACGAAGAAGTGTTCCTGGCATGTCCGCTGCGGAAGCTGCCCAGCAGCTGATAACCTGGGACTCTGCTGACCTGGGACTATTGAGTTAGGAAGAAACAGTGAACGTAATTGCCCATTTCGCTAGCAATGGTACATTGCGACGGGAAGTGGGAGTTGTGTGAGGAGCGGAAGCGAGATATAACAGTGTATTGCCTATGACGTCAGTCATTTCCTTCAACCCAGACCGGTCTTCAAAGTGCAAAAAATAAAATCCAGGCCCAACCCAGGATCATCGTCTTTTTTATTTCCGCTCAAAACTACTTGAAGTAGATAGGTTCGCTTTTCAGCGTTTTGTTTGTCAGGTTTCACAGTAGTTACCGTAGCTACCGTAGTGTTACTATAGCGATGGAGGACAGTACTGCGCTTGTTTCTGCCGTTTCCTCAGCTGTGCAGAGTCTGGGCCTGTTGGGCCCGCTGGAGGATCGACTCAGCGCCCTTGAGGCTTCATTGCACTCGCAGAGTAGCCGAACTGGTCCAGCGGACAGTTCGGCACCGACTCCGGGCACTTCAGCCAGCATGTCTGGTGAAGCTGACCCTACTGACTCTTCGAGTGGGCAGGTCCCATCGAACGAGGTTGTGGACGGGCCGAAGCATGCTTCGGTGACTCCCGAGATAGCAGAATTTCTGGAGAAGGAATTTAGAGTTGGTCTGAAGACCAAGGACCGGAAGGAGATCCTGGACAGGTTTCCCCGGCCAAACACCGAGGTAGCTGTGACCCCGAAAATGGATTCGGAGCTGTTGGAGTTCCCTGGGCTGGCATCCTCGTTCAAAAAAGGCGTGGACACCAACTTCTTATCGGTTCAGAGTAGCGTTTCGGACTGCCTGGGCAAGCAATTGCAACTGTGGATGGAGGCGCGGCGGGCCCTCGATGCTGATTCGGGTCTTGACCCGCAAGCTGTGCTGGAGCTAGCACCAATTGCGCTGCGCCTTTTGGGCAACGCACACCATAAACTGTCCTCGCAGCGCCGCATGCTTTTCTGGAGCACCTGGATAAAGGTATTGTCGGCCACACAAAGTACACCTGGAGAAACATTGAGCAAAGATTCAGCTATGCTCTAGCTGATGGCAGTTGGGATGCTCTTCTACAAGTGCCTTGTACCAGTTCCAAATCATGAGAAGTATTGGTCAATGTCAAGTCTGTATCATGGCCTGAGGGTCTGTGCATTCTTTGTCCGCGGTCACTTCAAGGCTATCTTGAGTTTCCTGTACATTGATGAACCTGATAATGACCCTGGCGACCATCTTCACAAAGTCAGTGCTGTTCACGGCGCAGTTCGCGCAGCGTCAGGTTTGTACAATGTTTTGTTTGTTTTGTTATTGTTTTTCTCCTTTTGAATTGAGTTTATTGAGTTTATTGATTGAGTTCGTTTAAATTAAAAAGAAATTGATTTGAAGTTTTTTTGGTTTGGGTTTGAAAATCTTATTTTACACATGCATTTTTCTCATTTCTTCTCCATTGTGTTAATTTTTGCCCGTAAAAGAGGCTTGTAATAATTTGTACCATCAGCCAAGGAAGACGGTAAGTAATAGGTTTTTCATTTGACCCGACGAGACCACACGACGCTTGCAGACCACAGCACGAACAGTTCACCAGTCACACTCCACGAAACCAATCTTTATGGAACGAAACAAGACTTGTCAGGAGTAATACTACTTGCTTTCGTGAAGTGTGACTGGTGAACTGTTCGTGCTGTGGTCTGCAAGCGTCGTGTGGTCTCGTCGGGTCAAATGAAAAACCTATTACTACTATTTGACGGACCTATGGAAGATGGAAACAAAGAATGAAGACGGTAAGCTTGGACGAACGAATAATACGTTTCAAGGGACGTCGCAAGATGACAGTATATATCAAAAACAAACCTACCAAGTGGGAATTCAAGAGTTTTGCTCTGTGCGACTCAACGAATAATTATATCGGGAACGTTGGGATGTATGCAGGACAGAATGATCCACCTGGACCACAAGATTTGGCGTAATATCTGGCGATTCGTTCGTTCGAGTCACTGCTTGACCAAGGCTATGTAGTGTTCACTGACAATAGTTACACGAGTCACTCTCTTGCCACCACGCTTATGGAGCATGACGACCATCTTGTCAGAACAGTCAGGAGCAACCGCACAGGGTTTCCTCACGTCCTCAAAAACACCAAGGACCTGGAAAGGCTCGGAACGCACGGCGATATACAATACGTGAGTACGAGGTGATTCGCAATTTTTGGACATGTCGCAATTTTTGGACAAGTCAGTTAAATACGGAAGTAGAGTCCTCCTGAGTCGTTGTACTTTCCTTGGTGGACAAATCTTTGACAAGAGTGTCTTCGTGTGGTCCTCAAGTTTCTTCGTGCCAATTTTTAGCGGTGAAGGCCGTTTCTTTCTGGGCGTTTTCTTCATTATTCTTAGGTAATGTAATTAGTAATTTTGAAAATTTCGATTAAATAATAAATGATTGAGGATTCCGTTGACTCTACGTCGCATAACGGAGAGAATGTCGACATGGGGGATGTTGTATCCCTTCCATCAACTCCAGGGACTACGTCTTCCAGCTCGAATCCGCCTGGAAGAGTCTCCTCGCCTTCTCAACCGGTGCGTTTGTGGAGGGGTTCTGGTCAGGAGAAATCTCTTTTAGCAGTGCGAGCGTTCCACTCACCTGGCACCAGTGAACACTTCCTAACCAAGAAGGACGCAGCGGCTAGTTACGGCGCTAGCCCTCCACTCTTTGCGAAATATGAGAAGTAGATGGGCCACACTGGAGTGCTCTCCTCTGTTCTTGAATAAGACGTCCATGAAAACCCTTGAGTGACCCTTTAAATTGTGTGTCACATTGAAAAGCCTTGAAAAGCTTGCTATGAACGGCCTGTCATTAGAACTCATATCAGCCGGTCTCATAGGCATAGCCTTACCCCATTTTCATGTCCTGTGCAAGTTTTACTTGTTCACACCATTGCAGACTGCTGCTAGATATTTAATTTAGTTGTCCAATAATTGCTCGCATTGAAAAAGCAGTAGAAAAAGACACCTTCGATCAGGTCAAGTTGTGGCCGCATGCTTCAACTCTATGCCTTCAGGTGTGCGTGGTGGTGGTAAAGCATAAGTGTGCCAGTAGAAAAGCAAGAAAGAAATTTAATTTATCTTACAAACCAACATAATGGGGTGCTATTTAATTTGAGTGTCCAAAAATAGCAAATGACCTCGTACCAATGATATTCTGTATGTCCAGTGGCTCGACAAACGTGTTGTGATAGTACTGTTGGCAAAGCACCACGCTAGTGACAGACATGACGCTGTCAGGACTGTACGAGAAGATAATGAGCGGGTGCAGCAGCCTATCCACCGACCAGCAGCAAATACCGGGTACAGTGAGTTCATGGGTGGAGTTGATGCATTTGACCACCTTGCTGCAACTAACCGAAAAAATATGGGTTTGCTATCTAACATTCTTAACCTTTCCAGAAAAAATCACCTGAAGTGATGAATGTGATTCTACATACTGTAGTGTCGCGTATAGAAGCATGACCTGTATAAAAGCATGACCTGTATAGAAGCATGACTGGAATAGAAGCCGGTTTTTCGAAGCGCGCCGTGACACAGAAGCACGATTAGAGTAGAAGCCGCCCTATGCAAAATACACGTGCAAGTACTTGCACAGTACATGTGTGGCAGCATGCACTGCACAGTGTAGACTGATGCTGTTGACGTAGAAGAATGTTTTGAATAGAAGCACAACTTGAATAAAAGCATGGTTTGAACCCCGGCTTTAACAGCCGTAAGCACTTGCTTTTATACGCGACATTACGCTACATGTTTAACCGGCCAATAAAAGGTTAACTGTGCGTTGGACAAGACTCATCCGCCAATTTCTCAAGTTTCCTCTTTCAGTGACTGTTTCTATTCCATCGGACATCTCATGCCAAATCCGTACTGCAGGCACAACATCAAATTTCCCTTGACACCAGAAGCTCTACTCCATGCATAACGTGAACAAGGACAATGGACAAGAAATATTGCAGAGAAAACGAGCTTACCTTCTTGCTTGCGGCAAAAGACAACGCCGAGAACCAGCTGCAGCAAGCTACATAGCTGCTGCATGTCCTTCCGTTCACCTGAGTACGCAGATGGGCACACATGAGCAATAACTTGTCCACGAGTAGAGGTAACGGTGGTGATGGTGATGATAATGATGTCTATCTGGATGGTGATGTCATCATGACTACAGTACTACAGTACTACATGGGACCATCTGTCCTAGTCACTAGACTACTGTGTACAATGAAACCCTACTCTAAGACCACCGCTCAAGGGACCTTCAAACTGTGGTCTCTGTAACCAGGTGGTCTCCTCATCCAGTGCCATTTGACTGGAAATAGCATCCCTTGGTACTGGCTGCAGTGGTCTTTTCTGGGACAGGTGGTCTTCTGGGACAGGTGGTCTTCTGGGACAGGTGGTCTTCTGGGACAGGTGGTCTTCTGGGACAGGTGGTCTTCTGGGACAGGTGGTCTTCTGGGACAGGTGGTCTTCTGGGACAGGTGGTCTTCTGGGACAGGTGGTCACCTTGACAGGTTTTACTGTACCTATATGGCATACTGTACGTACAAGTGTGCTCTTAGCAGTGCCCTGGCGTGGCGGCGGGTGTGTATGTGCATGTGTGATATGCCACCCGTATTGGCATACAATGCAACTTGGCATACAGTAGCAGTATGGCGACACATGTACAGTGTGTTGGAGTATGCATGGTGTGTTATAGTGGGTGTTGGACTATGCATGGCGTGTTATAGTGGGTGTTGGAGTATGCATGGCGTGTTATAGTGGGTGTTGGAGTATGCATGGCGTGTTATAGTGGGTGTTGGAGTATGCATGGCGTGTTATAGTGGGTGTTGGAGTATGCATGGCGTGTTATAGTGGGTGTTGGAGTATGCATGGCGTGTTAGAGTGGGTGTTGGAGTATGCATGGCGTGTTATAGTGGGTGTTGGAGTATGCATGGCGTGTTATAGTGGGTGTTGGAGTATGCATGGCGTGTTATAGTGGGTGTTGGAGTATGCATGGCGTGTTATAGTGGGTGTTGGAGTATGCATGGCGTGTTATAGTGGGTGTTGGAGTATGCATGGCGTGTTATAGTGGGTGTTGGAGTATGCATGGCGTGTTATAGTGGGTGTTGGAGTATGCATGGCGTGTTATAGTGGGTGTTGGAGTATGCATGGCGTGTTATAGTGGGTGTTGGAGTATGCATGGCGTGTTATAGTGGGTGTTGGAGTATGCATGGCGTGTTATAGTGGGTGTTGGAGTATGCATGGCGTGTTATAGTGGGTGTTGGAGTATGCATGGCGTGTTATAGTGGGTGTTGGTGTATGCATGGCGTGTTATAGTGGGTGTTGGAGTATGCATGGCGTGTTATAGTGGGTGTTGGAGTATGCATGGCGTGTTATAGTGGGTGTTGGAGTATGCATGGCGTGTTATAGTGGGTGTTGGAGTATGCATGGCGTGTTATAATGGGTGTTGGAGTATGCATGGCGTGTTATAGTGGGTGTTGGAGTATGCATGGCGTGTTATAGTGGGTGTTGGAGTATGCATGGCGTGTTATAGTGGGTGTTGGAGTATGCATGGCGTGTTATAGTGGGTGTTGGAGTATGCATGGTGTGTTATAGTGGGTGTTGGACTATGTATACTGTGTACAGACTACAGTGTTAGGATGTGCGTTGTGTACATACTGACCTATGGCATTGGGATCAGGCCAGTCAAAGTCGCTGAGTTCCTCTTGACACACCTAATATCAATATCAACAATAGGAATAATACGCAGAGCACACCAACACTAGTACTATGTACAGTCTCTACCCCCCCCCCCCCCCTCACTGCAGTTATCAACTGGTACATGTCATCAGCATGTACCGTAATGTTGCGTATTAAAGTCGGGCTTATTCCTGTAAAAGCCGATGTAAGGGCTAGGCTTCTACTCACATCAGGCTTGTATTCAAACCAGGCATTTCTATGTGTGTCAACACTAAAACCAGGCTTATGTGCCAACAGTGTATCTTGAAAATCAGGCTTGTATTCAAAACAGGCTTCTATACGAGACAGGCTTTAACACAAGACACTATGGTACGTGTACTGTGGATAATGTGCACTATCATCAACAGTCCATTAACTAGATTATGCAACTGTGATCTCCTTTATATGGGCCAGATGTGTGGCACACTGTCTTCATTACATCATGCGGCTACCGCAAGCTGTGGACAAGTCAAACACGTCACTCTTCCTGTGGTTTGAAACCAACTTTCATAACAGAACTGAAGTTCACGCACAAACATTTAGCGTCTGTACTCGAACGAAGCAAACAAAATCGGGTGTGCTGGTATAACAGATTGTGGATTTAGCGCACAAGTACAGGGTGTGGTCCAGGTCAATTACCCAATGGAGGCAGCGCGCCGCACACTGACCCCAAATCATAGTTGCATACTCTTGTTTATGGACACTTGCTATCATGTGTATGTGTGTGTGTGGGGGGGGGGGGGGGGTGGCTGCCGCAGACCAGGCCAGCACATGGACCACGTCTAGTTGCTGCCGCAGACCAGGCCAGGGAATTGGGAATTGGGAATTGAAACTTCAATCTTTCGTCGTCATGAGTGCACTGGTCAAGCGTTGTGGAAGTCTGTCGGATTTGTGAGGCCTTGCCCTGCCGCTTACATCGTCAACGTGGAAGAACTGCTAGTGGAGTCCTGGTGGGATTTCGGATGCCCACACTCCTTTTGCTTGGTGGATTCTTTCGTGGACAGTGTTTTTTCGTGACGTGAAATTTTGAATTTTTTTTTCCTTCCTGTTCATTTTCAGTCGTTGGCACTGTAGCTGTCAGGTTGTTGTTACAGTACAGCAGTCGTCCGTTCTGCTCCATTGTTTCATCTGTTTTGCCAGTTCTGCTAGCTGATTCTATTTATTTGCCACTGCCCCTCATAGTGCTCATGCTTGGGTGGAGGGCGGCGTGACCCGTTTAGGGTAGCTGTATCATAGTAGTAGTATGTGTGTGTGTGTGTGTGTGTGCGTGTGTGTGTGTGTGCGTGTGCATGTGTGTGTGTGTGTGCGTGTGCAAGTGCATACAAATACAAGTACATACCTGTTCATAATAATCCTGCAGCTTTGATGTCAGTTTGCGAATGTTGTTAGTCTGCGGCCAGAGAGCAGTCATAAACACACAGTCAGTGTCACAGGCAATCATGAAAACAGACAGAGCATACACATCAGTAAACGCAGACACTAGACGATTGCAACTGGCACGAGAATTACAAATTGTTACATACACTTGTGCTTGTACTGGACAAAAGCACTTCACAAAACAATTTTGACTTTTCCAAAATCCTACTCACGGCAACTCTCCAGTTGGAAGTCTTCTTGCTGATTTTCGTCAGCCATTCTTCATCAAAGAAATCAGAAGCACTAGACACAAGCATAGTAGAAAGCATGTGTGATTGTCAGATTGAGCAGCCAACATACTCAACAATAACAGCCATACAACATATGACGCACAATGGCGTAGACTTGGCGCAGCAGCAGCAGCAGCAGCAGCAACACAACTGTAGGAATTACATCCACACAGTCATGCCCCTAGTCTGGTAGTGGCGGTGTTGACATCGGTAGTGGTGGTGGTACGGTGTACTAGCGTACGTATATAATACAACCCAACAGTACGCTTGTACGTGAAATATAAACCGACATACAAACCGAGGTGAAGCCGAGGTTTGTATGATGGTTTATATTTCAAGTACAAGCGTACTAGTGGGATGTATTATACTTATGCTGACCTTCATACAAACTGACAGTCAACTTCTTCCTGTTTCTATGGTGGCGGTCTATATGGGGTTTGTATGGGGTTTGTATGAGGTTTATATGCCCAGTATAAGCCGCCAGCATGATGGGCAAGTTGACTGGAAGTTTGCATGAAAGGTCAGCATAAGCATAGGTACGAGATCGTGTACAGGATCGTGTACAGGATCGTGTACAGGATCGTGTACAGGATCGTGTACAGGATCGTGTACAGGATCGCGTACAGGATCGCGTACAGGATCGCGTACAGGATCGTGTACAGGATCGTGTACAGGATCGTGTACAGGATCGTGTACAGGATCGTGTACAGGATCGTGTACAGGATCGTGTACAGGATCGCGTACAGGATCGTGTACAGGATCGTGTACAGGATCGTGTACAGGATCGTGTACAGGATCGCGTACAGGATCGTGTACAGGATCGCGTACAGGATCGTGTACAGGATCGTGTACAGGATCGCGTACAGGATCGTGTACAGGATCGTGTACAGGATCGCGTACAATGGCCAAGTATTAGTTAACCGTGATAAACAGGGTATTTTGTGACAGCTAATCTCGCTTAGCACTAGGGAAGCAAAAGATCATTGAGCTTCAATTCATTTGGAAATCGCCATCACTTTCTTTGCCTACTAAATTTCGTTTTGTTAGGTCTATTGTGCTAGCGACTGTTTTATACGGATGCTAATCTTGGACATTATCCGCCTCATCAATGAGAAGAATTTCGTCCTTCGAGATGAAATGCTTCCGCCGACTCTTAGGAGTAACATACTACGACCGGCGTACCAACCAATCTATCCTGGAAGACATCAATGGCATCATCGGAGCAAGGATGCGGCTAACGAACGAAGTCAAGAAATTAAAGGTGATGTGGTTTGGCCATGTTATGAGACATGGCGTTTTCTCCAAGCCCTTCCTGCAAGGATCAACTCTTGGATCTCGAACGAGAGGAAGGCCCGCGACATCATGGATTTCTAACATCAAAAGTTGGACGGGTCTTCCCTTGCATGCTCTCTCTCATGCAGCACACGATAGAGTTGGATTCAGAGACATCATTCACAATTCTCTCGCTGATTAATGCCTCAACGATCACCTTGTGATTATGAGTTATACATGCATACCGGTACATACCGGTACAATCTCATGTACACCTAAGTGCAGTGGTGGGGACGGGGACAGCATTTGGACTTGAATTTCCTTCTTCCTGTGCACCATGCAGTCATGCCCCCCCCCCCCCCCGCGGCCCTCAGTGCGTCATATTCATTACATTTCCATGTCATTTACAACACAGCGAATATATTCTCGGATGTCTTCATGATGGTGTTGCTTATTGCATTGCTATTAGTATTGGATACTGCTTGGCCTGTCTTCACAGTTGGTAAGCCAATATCCCATGTGGGGAAGGTCCAGGTCATTCAATGAACACCTACACACTTCTTATTGTCTGAATATTGAGCTCAGAACTCACAGGACGTGTAGACTCTGGCTAATGGCCAATCCATCGGTTAGATCTTCCAAACTACCACACGTCCCTTCACTGTCATCCTTGACCAGCTGCTTGATCTGAACACCACCAGTATTGACAAACCAAACCAAACTTCATGAAAATGTCATTCCATGACCACAGACTATAAAAGGCACTAACTGACCCAAAGGAACAAATTGTTCAATTGAGATTCGTGAGGTTGCTCCATGAAAGAACTGTCTAGTGGGTAACTTGCTTCACTCATGCACTGCAGTCACACGGCGGTGAGGCTTGAAGCTGAAGAGTGTAAGAGTAGCGCTAGAACAACGTAACTAACTACAACTGTTACTGATATCAAGAATTCATAACCCTTGCTGTTATTTCATCAATGTTATGTGCCTGATTACCATAATCATACTGTACAAATCTTTGACTTTGTATTTTCAAAAAATCACACACCAGGGTGTGACATCATGAGTACGGCCACATTTTGTCAAGACAGTTCGGCGTCGACACGTCTATTTTGGACGCCGCACCGTTGTTCGCAAAAACGGCTTTGGTCCTGCGCAAAACAGGCCTGCGTTGACTACTGCCACTGCACGGAGCATCAGCGCTCGCTGCTCGGCTAGCCTTAAAGGGGAAGTATACCCTAAAATCAAATTTTCACCAGTTGTAGTCTTCTGGGTGCTGAGTCGAATGGTCTTGGTCCGAGAAAGCTGCGACGCTCCCTTCCTACTTGAATCCCAATCGAACTCGCGCACTTCCACCGAAACTGGGTGACTGCGCCCTACGAGATGGGGATTTGTATGCAAAATGTCACTAAAAGCGCCATTTCGTTCTTATAAAAGCACGGATGACCGCGATTGGCCCATATGTTGTAGTCTTTTGGACGCTGAGTCGACTGGTTTTGGTCCGAAAAGGCTGCGATGCAGCGTTCCTCCTTTATTCCCAATCGAACATGGTTGAAGAAGCGGTCACGTGCTCCTGGGTGCCCAAATCACCTGGTCACCGCGCCAGCAGGCGACAACTTTCACACCAAGGTTCAACTCGAGTTCAACTCGAGTGACAGGACTGCACCCAAAAAAGGTCAAACAGGCTAGTAAGTTGTACCCTGCAGGCACGGTGACCAGCTGACTGGTGTACGCAGGAGCACGTGACCGCTTGTTCAACCATGTTCGATTGGGAATAAAGGAGGAACGCTGCATCGCAGCCTTTTCGGACCAAAACCAGTCGACTCAGCGTCCAAAAGACTACAACATATGGACCAATCGCGGTCATCCGTGCCTTTATAAGAACGAAATGGCGCTTTTAGTGACATTTTGCATACAAATCCCCATCTAGTAGGGCGCAGTCACCCAGTTTCGGTGGAAGTGCGCGAGTTCGATTGGGATTCAAGTAGGAAGGGAGCGTCGCAGCTTCCTCGGACCAAGACCATTCAACTCAGCACCCAGAAGACTACAACTGGTGAAAATTTGATTTTAGGGTATACTTCCCCTTTAAGGCCTTCAATTCAAGGCTTCATCACTCATATCAGCCGGTTCATGATAATTCAGGCTGAGCGTGGGAGTAGATTGCAGGAGTACAGCTAGCCAGCCAGGTCAGTCTTTTATTTTTGATGAAGACTGGAATCGCAGCGCAGTGGAAATGTCGTGACAGTAGCCGAGCCGAAGTTCTTGAGCAGTATGCAGGTATGTGATTGTGAATGTGAGACTCACTGAGAGTGAAGTTAGCGAGTCCTTTGACTAGATGTGGCGTGCAGTACGTGTGCTTCGCTGCAGTAGGAACTACTGATGGGTTTCGACGTGGCACGGTTCGCTGGTGAGGTGGACGAGGAGTTGATTTGCGCTATTTGCAAAGGGGTACTGGAATGTCCCGAGCAGGCACCTCAGTGCGAACATGCCTTTTGTTCGGCTTGCATTCGAGAATGGCTCGTGCAACAAGAAACCTGTCCAGTTGATCGAAGTCCGCTATCAGCGCAAGAATTGGCTACGGCGCCGAGAATCCTGAGAAATCTCCTGAGCCGACTGACTATAAGCTGCGAGTTCGCTAGCGATGGTTGTTCGCAAGTGGTGAAACTGGATTGCTTACAAGGGCACCAGGAGCAATGCACATACAACCCCAAAATCCCTGTTGCGTGCACAAGTGGCTGTGGCTCGGTGATCCCCAAGGACGAAGTGTCTACCCATAACTGTGTGAAAGAGGTCCGCCGTGTCTTGGAAGCACGCATCCAAGATCTCGAGGCGGAGGTTGCGCAGCTACGCCGCGAGAGGACGTTTGAAGTTCAGGACTGGGTTAAGCGAGAGTTCAAGGAGTTTGTCGAGTCGCGCCTCTCTGCACTGTCCCTGAACGGCCCAGCTCTGGCCCTGGCCAGTGCCCCACTGTATGGCGGACGTACGGAGGATGAAGCGCGTGCAGCGCAGATCCAACAGTGGGCACAGTCATTGGCAACGGCACATGTCTGTCGCTGGGGAGGCATGATCTCAACGCCAGACTCTGTGCTGCAAGCAAGCATTAAACGTGCTCTCTTAGAGAGCGGCTGTCCGCCAGTACTGTGCAATGAGCTGATGGAGAATGCGCATGAAAGACGCTGGCCGCGCGGCCTCAACACACTGGAAACACGGCAGATGAACCGACGCCGGTACGAGCAGTACGTGACGAAACGGATTCCGCGCAAGCAAGCTGTTGTGGTGCTGCAGTGCGAGAATCAGCATATGGGAGACAGCATGACTGTGGAGCCCGGACTTGTCATGATCTTTGCACATGGTGTCGACTAATGCGGATGGCCTTCCACGGCGGCATGCCGCTTCTGTACATAGTCATTGGCCAATCGGCCAGCGGTGCACCGGTGGTGGCCACTTGAAAGTCAGTCGTAGTTATTTATCTTGTAACTCATAATCAGTTTGTGATCGGTGTGACTGTAACTTTGACTGGCATACATGACCTCAGTCCTGAGTACTCTTTTACAACACAGTCATTGCCCTGGCCTCGCAGAACTAGCACTGGTTACATTGGAGTGCCTCCGCACCTTGATAAAAGCAGTTCTGATACCTCATCACGGCCACAAACCCTCGCCGCTGTATCCATGTACTGGGCATTACGCCACAGCAATATTCTTGGTCGCCTGTGTGTGTGTGTGTGTGTGTGTACATGGTGTACATGGTGTGTGTGTGTGTGTGTGTGTGTGTGTGTGTGTGTGTGTGTGTGTGTGTGTGTGTGCGCGCGCATGTGTGCGTGTGGGCGTCACCAGTGTGTGTATGTGTGTGTTTGTGTGGCATACCGGGTGGCAGTGTACTGAGTTTCAACCAGACCGTGTTCAGCTATCATAGCGCAAGCAATACCAAGTCACAGTTTAGAATAAACTCAGAATGCCAGATGTTGCAGCCTGGTGTACTCACATGGGTTGTGTAGCCGATATGAAGTACTTGATAGTGCAATTCATGACTGCTTAGATCATTGTCTCGGTTATTATCTGAGCCATGAGCATCAGCATGACTCCAGCTCATCATATTGATAATGCAAGCGTGAAAATGAATGTACCACTGAGCTGGCCTAGAAAGTAGAATAAGGAGAGAGAGAGAAAGAGAACATGGAGTGAGAGTGCGGCATGCTGGGGATCCTGGTTGCAACACGTTCTCGTCGGGAGTTGGTCCTCTGTGCGTGCTAACAGTTTCATGTCGCTCGCATGACTTCCCATTTTGTATTTTCGTGTCGTCTGCAGACTGCATGTTTTGTCATTATATTATACTTCAAAAGTGTATGTAGTTCGTATCATTTCATATTATTGTAGTAGCTGGCCCTCGGAGACAATTTCACACACTCAAACAAAGCACTCACGATACTCTCCTTTCTGGGTCGGCATGTTATATGACAAGGCCGGTTGAATTTGCATTCAAGCTTTACTCCGGTAACGCATTTTGTCTACTGAACCTTGAAACCATGTTCACAGCCATGTGACACTAGGGACCTTTCGCACCACATGTACGGATACGAAACGAATGCTGATTCGTAGGGCTGAAACAATTATACCGATAACTCGCATATCGATCGTTAAGAGTGCAATCGATAATCGTTAGTGTTCGAAACGAGTGCTAACGATTTATTATGCATGCATATCAGTGACAGTATTCTAGCCCTTGCACTCCATCCGATAGTGAATACGAGTACAATCATGTACTTCCAAGCGCGGTAAAATTGATTTGTGGATTTGAAAGAGATCGGGAGAGAAGACTTTGTCTTTTTGGTTCATTTGTGTGAGAGGTTGGAGATAAGAGCAGTTGCCAGAGGGTGATGACAAGATTCTTTGCTCTAGAAACAACATGAAATTCTCAAGTTCATGTTGATAAAACCAGGCAGATTTCCACAGATGTCAACAGTGACTCCGACTAGAACTTAGAAGTCAAGTCCCGCACGCTGTTTTACACACATGCACCCACACATGCGTACGCGTATGCACACTGTGCAACACACATACACACACACACACACCTGCGCGTGCACACACTAGCCGCGGCCACGGTGAAACACACACAGCCCATCCACACTGACTCTGTGACACAGGACTGAGGTTAGGGATGAGTGCTCCGGCCCGGGGTCACGGTCACGCCCCCCCCCCCCCACACACACACACTGTCCCTCCTTTCGGGTAGACCCCGGTCTAGGGAATAATAACTTATAGGATAGTGCTCCGGCCCGGGGTCACGGTCACCCCCCCCCCTTTGGGACCGATCCGGCGCGGGCCCGCGCCGGGGAAGGGCCGAGAAGTGAGTCCAATGCAATAGTCCTTATGCACATTGTACAGATGTACGAAGTTCTGTACTATGGCCGTAGGTGTGTACATACCCGGTTGGGTGTTCATTGTGTGCTATACATGCGCGTTTGACCCATTTAGCCTCACAATTCATGGCAAACGATCACTTTTCAAGCCTTCTTCACTTTGGGATTGAACTAACGACTAGCTAGATCTCTGCCGGAAAAAGATTTCGTATGAAATGCCTTCATGGCCCATTTCATAGTGGAAATAGCAGTAAACACAATAGGGTCCTGCACATTCAACATCCAACCGGGTCTACGGGATTCTACAAGATTATACGGGATTTCGTGCATCTGTACAATGATTATGTGCATATTAAAGGCCTATCCTCCATGCGTGAACCGTTCACACCATGTACCAGGGAGTCGTAAAAATAATACTTTTTTTGTATTTTACGACTCCCGGTACGCGGTCCCTGGTTCTTTTCACACCGGAACAGAACATGAAGAAAGAATAAGAAAAAAACACATGAATGACATCATTGACATGAATGTTGATGATGATTACGTAAATGCCTTTGATTTCAAATGCCAGAGTCGAGTACGAGCGAGTGTGGCCTTTTCTTCTGTTTTCATCTGTTGACTGTTGACGTGTTGACTGTTGTTTGATTGATTGATTCTTTACTTGCGTGAAGTAGAATGACCATGATTACTGCTAATGATTACTAGTACTAGTAGTAGTAGTTTCCTTGCGACCATTCAGTAGTCTTATCTACTTCACGTTCTTGTTCTACAGTTTCTTGCAACAGTCAGAACACAAAGTACGAAGTAGCCAAGACCCCACCGACTGTTCTACATGACTTTATTGTAGTTCTATCATCCACGAGTGCGTCCAGCGGTGCGAAGGAGCCTGACAAAGTTTGGCAAAGGACGTGGATTGCGCTTTCCTTTCATGCTAGCTTGTTGTAGTGTAGCTTCTTGAGCTTTAGAGAGACTTGAGCAATGTGACTTGCTGGCTGTCACTGTCCTGGAAGAAGCATGTCGCGGAAAGAAATTCTCGAAAATGAACTAGAAGAACTGACACGTAAGTATACATTGCCACACGTATTGCCTGCTGTCGAATAGTGCGTGCTTGTTGGCCAAATGAACTATCTGTGTGTGCGTGTGTGTGTGTGCGTGTGTGTGTGTGTGTGTGTGTGTGTGTGTGTGTGTGTGTGTGTGTGTGTGTGTGTGTGTGTGTGTGTGTACTGCAACTCCTGATGCTATCATTGCACGGAGCAATGGGCATCCAAAGGTCCAAAGGTGTGTGTGTGTGTGTGTGTGTGTGTGTGTGTGTGCGTGCGTGTGTGTGTGTGTGTGTGTGTGTGTGTGTGTGTGTGTGTGTGTGTGTGTACTGCAACTCCTGATGCTATCAAGTATCATTGCACGGAGCAATGGGCATCCAAAGGTCCAAATGTGTGTGCGTGTGTGTGTATGTGTGTGTGTGTGTGTGTGTATGTGGGAGAGTGTCTGACAACAAGACTATAGACACAGTGTTGCACCGTGTGCCTGTGGTGTTCAGCAGCACATCCCATAGTTACAAGCACTGCATGCAGTGGTGTGTACCCGAAATCTTCACAAACGCGATGGGTGCTGTAATGTCAGTCTGACCAACCTTGCCACCATTCCAAAACAGGACACCCATATACAATGTATACAAAGGCAATTCTCTCCCATGTAATGTATACATGTGTTTGGGTCCAAAGCAGGACTGTCCTGCTCAAAGCAGGACGGTTGGACAGCCTGTAATGTCGATCTTTTAGCCTGCTTTCCAAGGCTGTAAACTTATAAAACAGGTCACTATTGGTCATTGCACACAGTGTAGTATAATGCATAAGCATAACTCCACTGTTCAATCACCTGGTCCTGTGCTTGTATTGGGATGGGAGTGTACAATGAGGACCTGGGAGTACAGTACATGTCCTGTCAGGTTCTCAATGATGTGGCTACTTTTTTAAAACTTTAAACACGTACTGTGGTACCTCTCAGACCATAAAGATATTGTGTTGTTTAGCCTAGTAGTGTGACATGTTCACATTGACCCTGTCAAGTAGCTGCTGTGTTCTTGCTGATTGTAGAGCCCAACCAGGCTCAGTGCAAGTGAATGCCCATCTGCCCGCACGCAGGTGTGCATGTGTGCGCGCGCATGCGCATGCATATGTATGTATTTGATCTGGATCCCGGGCGATTTCGGTATCGGTAGCTGTGGAGGATAATGGCGGATTGTGACATTTTCTGTTTGTGTTCAGGTTCTGTGTCGCTACGCAAACGGTACGTTGAAATCCACAATAACTATGTGTGTACGGTGTACGTTGTACCATACCTTAGCACTGCCAGTAAACGCCACCTTTTTAAGTACTCGCGCACTCCATTGCAGTCATTTACACATTAGGGTCCCTCAACTCAACCACTCCAAACACGGTCTCTTTGCTGCATTCATCACTTGAACTGTATCACTGTGACCTGATGCTGGTCCAGGCCTGAAAATTCGGTTGGGTGTGTTCGTGTACCGTACCTTGCGTCCTACGTTTCGCTCAATTTTTTCTTCTTTTTTCTTCTTTCTCTTGTGCAGGATGATTGCAGCTAAGTCATCTGCTGTAAGATCTGGCCACAGATCAACTGTCCGCTCCTCATCTGTGACAAAGACTCCCTTATACCGCTCTGGGGCAACTACTTCAAAGTATTCCAAAGTGAATGTAGGGCGGACGTCTTGTCCGGCCCACGTTGCTTTTCGGCAGCATGGCACGCAACATGGCACACAACACAGCGGCAATCAGTTCAGGTGGAAACCTGAACACAACGTCGAGCATCAATCATCATCACCAGCTGCCACAAACGCAATGCCATCGTCATCAGTTGACTTTTCCTCTTGTCCAGAGCCATTACCAGCTGTCTGTGTGGCCGATCGTCCGTCAACGCTTTCCTTTCAGCTGCCAAGAAGCCGACCTCTACGACAAACACCTTCGACTTCATCTACTCCTGCACCATTAGTAAGGAAATCAAAGGCCACAGTACCAGCACCAGCTCAAGGTCACCGACCCGATGTCACTTGGCCACCGCCAGTGCAATCTATTGGGGCTGCCCCTTCCACTACGAGAGTACATGCCAGCGGAAACGGCAAAGATAGCACCACCAGCAGTGATAGGAAACTCCACAGCAGCGGCGGCGGTGGCGGTGGTGGCAGCGGTGTTGGCTCATGTGCTAGGTCCAACTACACGTGGAGACCCAATCCTGCTAGTTCGACTGTATCTCATTCGGCTGTGTCATTAGCAATGCCCGTGACACACACAGTCAAGCAAAGCAGCTCTCAGCCATCATCCACTGTTCAACACAGCACTAGCACTAGCACTAGTGACACCAATGTGAATGCATGTGCTAACGAAAGTCAGCCCAAGTCTAAGGACACTGGGAGTATGAAAGTGCTCTCTCAGCCAGTCGATAATCGTTCTAGCCTGCCAACTCGTCAGCAGCTGCGCTGGTCGAAACAGAGCACTCCGCATGCATCTGCTGTGCCTCCTGGAAAGCCTGTGACATCATCAGCGGCCGTGAAGGAAGCTGGGTCTAGTATCAGCAATGTGAGTGTTACTCATTGTGTTACCAGCCTGGCTACTGTGCATGGGCAAACTACCAGCCTGGCTACTGTGCGTGGGCTAACTTGTACTGCCACAAGTGCCAGTACTGTGTCTGCACAAACCACTGCCCAGTCATCTCAACGTCCCCAGTCGTCGCAGGTAGTTGATCCAACCATGGCGAAAGCTCAGCATCGAGTGCAACCAGCAGCATGCCGAAAGGGTAATTTAACTTGGCACCGTACAAGTGCCTCCACAGTAACCGCCACTGCTGGATCCACAGTGTCCGCTGCAGCATCAACAGTATCGTCATCATCTCATACCCAATCCGATAAGACAGTAATGGGAGGTGATAGGCCAATTACTCAGCCCAGCACAGCGCAAGGAACAAGTGGTATCGGTAATGGTCAACAGGCTTCTCCCTGCAAACAACCACTTTCAACCGAGATATCTTCTCACAACACAATCAGTGGAAAGATGAGGTGGAGACGGAAAAGCTGGAATGAAGCGCAAAAGCAGCCATCACCAAATCGTTTGTCAGTGTCCAGTAAGAAGTCGCTGTCACCTAGATATGCTAGTGTCAACAGCAAGCAAGTGGTTCACGGTTCTAAATTGAAATGGCGAAAACCAACTGCTGGAAAAGAAAGTACAGAGAAGGAAAGAAAACTGCCTCCATCACCAAGCCAGCTAAAATGGAGACGTGCTCCAACGCCAAAGACTGGAAAAGTGGGTGCAGACAAGGAAAGAAAAGCACATCCGTCACCAAGTCAATTAAAATGGAGACGTGTTCCAGCGTCGAAAACTGGGAAAGTGGGTGCAGCCAGTGAAAGAAAACTGCCTCCGTCACCAAGTCAATTAAAATGGAGACGTGTTCCAACATCGAAAACTGGGAAAGTGGTTGCAGCCAGAGAAAGAAAGCCACATCCGTCACCAAGTCAACTGAAGTGGAGGCGTGTTCCAACGTCAAAGGCTGGAACAGTGAGTGCTGACAAGGAAAGAAAGCCCCATCCGTCACCAAGCCAACTGAAATGGAGACGCGTTTCTACATCAAAGGCTGGTGTCAAGAAGTCCACTTTGCCTGCCAGCATTCCGTCACGCCACAGCTTAAAGTGGCGCCGTGTATCCAGTTCGGGGAGTAGCACCGTCCCTGCCGAAGTGCCACCGCGTCATAACCTAAAGTGGCGGAGATTATCTAGTGCAGATGCAAGCACTGCCTCTTCTACTGGCAATCGGAGCATTGACAGGCGAGCAAGTCAACGCAAATCAAAAAGTACTCCGCGTAAGTTGCCAGCTCCCCGTGAGTTGAAGTGGAGGCGAAAGTCATTAAGTCCAGCAGCAGCAAAGACTTCTGTCCTCGCCAAGCAGTCTGCCAAACAACTGCCATCTAGAGAACAGCTCAAGTGGCGACGGTTGAACGCAGCAAAATCTCCTGTGGCCAAGAAGAAGGTGGTGAATCCCTACCACTGGGTGCGAGATGGGCTTACGTCAGCTAAGTCTCAGGTTAGTACTTCAAGTAGTGTCTTCTGCATACTAGTACTGTACTCACTTGTTCTCGTTAGTCTCAATGCGGCCATGACTCATGCCATGACATGTGCCCCTGTGCCCTGAGTCCCTGACAGTGTTGGTGGAGTAGCGTCGGGGTCTATTCATAGGCAAGCAATATTCCCCGCTCCTCAACTGGTTTGGATTCTTTAACGCTTTGTCGGATCTGAGGATTTTGTGTCAGATAAACGGTAGGCATTGGAGGAACTACCCAGTTGTTAGCAACAATGAGTCCTTCATGAGTACTCCATGTTAGCGTATCACACATGGCACTGGTACAGCACTTCATGAGTACTCCATGTTAGCATCTCACACATGGCACTGGTACAGCACTGCATGCTGTTTGTGTCCTCGGCACATTATACCACATTGCTACCAATCAGATAGCGGATGTATAGGATCACGTCTCAACCTGTGTCAATCGTGCTTTCTTGTTTCACTCTCTTAGGCTTCTGCACCGCCAGGTAGCTGCTTGCCACGCAATGCTCTTCAACTGGCACTGTATGGTGCGAATGGATGGAAAAGCCTTGCAGTGCAAAGGTATTATAATATTAATGTGTGTTTGTGTGTATGTGTCTTGTTGCTGGGGTGTTGTAGATTGTTTTTGTGTGTGTGTGTGTGTGTGTGTGTGTGTGTGTGTGTGTGTGTGTGTGTGTGTGTGTGTGTGTGTGTGTGTGTGTGTGTGTGTGTGTGTGTGTGTGTGTGTGTGTGTGTGTGTGTGTGTGTGTGTGTGTGTGTGTGTGTGTGTGTGTGTGTGTGTGTGTGTGTGTGTGTGTGTGTGTGTGTGTGTGTGTGTGTGTGTGTGTGTGTGTGTGTGTGTGTGTGTGTGTGTGTGTGTGTGTGTGTGTGTGTGTGTGTGTGTGTGTGTGTGTGTGTGTGTGTGTGTGTGTGTGTGTGTGTGTGTGTGTGTGTGTGTGTGTGTGTGTGTGTGTGTGTGTGTGTGTGTGTGTGTGTGTGTGTGTGTGTGTGTGTGTGTGTGTGTGTGTGTGTGTGTGTGTGTGTGTGTGTGTGTGTGTGTGTGTGTGTGTGTGTGTGTGTGTGTGTGTGTGTGTGTGTGTGTGTGTGTGTGTGTGTGTGTGTGTGTGTGTGTGTGTGTGTGTGTGTGTGTGTGTGTGTGTGTGTGTGTGTGTGTGTGTGTGTGTGTGTGTGTGTGTGTGTGTGTGTGTGTGTGTGTGTGTGTGTGTGTGTGTGTGTGTGTGTGTGTGTGTGTGTGTGTGTGTGTGTGTGTGTGTGTGTGTGTGTGTGTGTGTGTGTGTGTGTGTGTGTGTGTGTGTGTGTGTGTGTGTGTGTGTGTGTGTGTGTGTGTGTGTGTGTGTGTGTGTGTGTGTGTGTGTGTGTGTGTGTGTGTGTGTGTGTGTGTGTGTGTGTGTGTGTGTGTGTGTGTGTGTGTGTGTGTGTGTGTGTGTGTGTGTGTGTGTGTGTGTGTGTGTGTGTGTGTGTGTGTGTGTGTGTGTGTGTGTGTGTGTGTGTGTGTGTGTGTGTGTGTGTGTGTGTGTGTGTGTGTGTGTGTGTGTGTGTGTGTGTGTGTGTGTGTGTGTGTGTGTGTGTGTGTGTGTGTGTGTGTGTGTGTGTGTGTGTGTGTGTGTGTGTGTGTGTGTGTGTGTGTGTGTGTGTGTGTGTGTGTGTGTGTGTGTGTGTGTGTGTGTGTGTGTGTGTGTGTGTGTGTGTGTGTGTGTGTGTGTGTGTGTGTGTGTGTGTGTGTGTGTGTGTGTGTGTGTGTGTGTGTGTGTGTGTGTGTGTGTGTGTGTGTGTGTGTGTGTGTGTGTGTGTGTGTGTGTGTGTGTGTGTGTGTGTGTGTGTGGATGTGGGTGCATGCATGTGTGCTGTGTACTGTACTGTACTGTACTGTAGTGGTTGACTTACACCACCTGGTGACCTGGTGACCTGGTGACCTGGTGACCTGGTGACTAGCTACAGTACCTATGCACTAGAAGCTTGTTGTTGTTGTTTAAACGTTGGCATTCATCTGCCAGTGATAGTCATCTTCTGCTAGTACTGTATGTATTACAATGTAGGTAGCACAGAACAACGCTTACATTACCATGCGTTCCAAGACTTTTAGGCTTACGTGGTAAACTTTCTGCAGGTAAAACGCAGAGAATGCAAGCCAGGAATATCACACAGTCATTCCTACATGAAGTCACTCACACATCAATGTGATCTTTTCGGTGCTAGGCATATGCGTTACGTTGCCAAGACGGCCGCTTTGCGCACACCCAGCAAGAATAAGAAGAAGCTGCATCAGTAAGTAATCGAAGGTTCAGTGTGCTTGTATGACATTGGGTATATGCCCCGGTTTTCTCCATCCTCCATTCTTATTGGTATTATAGTATCTGGTTGGGCTGGTCACGCAGGTCACGTAGGTCACGCAGTCGGGCTTTGGCTGGACCACTCTCTGTTTGTCCAGCAGATGTGTTGATAGAAGAGAGGGGTTAATGAGAATGTGCAAAGCTGTCATTGGCGTGTGTGTGTGTGTGTGTGTGCGCGCGCGTGTGTGTGTGTGTGTGTGTATGTGTGTGTGCACTGTAGTCACGGCCGTGTGTCTTCACTGGTCAGGCCAGTAAGTAGATGTGCAAGGAAACGGGGGAGTGATACTCGTCGGCTGTGCTTTCTCCTGTGTCTCCTCTTGACGTTGCATCTACTGAATTTGGAAGTTGCTAATCACTTTGGCCAGTGTTGGCCTGTTCCCAAAATGCGAAGACTCCACTGTAGCTATCCACTGTACCCATACATCTTCACAACACTCTCCAAACGGTCTCTGGGCTACACCAATCACTAAAACTAGTAAAAGAAAAAAAGAGATCATCATTCGAATTTTCCGGCAAGGCCCATCTTCAGGAATGTAGTCACTGTAGATAAAACAGAGAATATATACCGTACTGGCAATATATGTTGCCGCGTAACGCGTAACGCAGGGGGGTGCGGCGTAACGCGCGACCAGGCTAGTGCGACAAATTTTCGTTGCGTTCGTAACGCGCGTCCGGCGGGGTGCGGCGATCTTTTCATTGCAAAAAAGGCTGAAAACTGTGAAAGCACGTGTACCGCGTGGTGAAAAGTTCAAAACTGGACGCAGCAGGAAGTCCTGCAATAGCAAAAAAAGGACTGCGGCAATATAGAAACCTGTGTAACGGCTCCTCTGCGACTTTGCATGTAACGCCCTGCGTGCGATAAACATGTGCCAATGTAACGCTTCATGGCCTCACTGCGACCATATATTGCCAGTACGGTAAATGACAACAAGATACGAAAAGTACTCTAGCAGCACTGAATTCTCCAACTACATCTGGAACTTGAAGAAATCTAACGCCAAGTACGAAGTTGAATGGAGGATAAAAGATCGCACCTGAGTGTACTCTAACATCACAAAGCGGTGTTCCCTCTGTACCAGAGAAAAGTACCACGTCCTGGACACGCTAGGGTCACCATCCAGCCTCCACGAGCGCTCGGAAATGGTGTCCAAGTGCCGACACGAGAACAAGTATCTCCTCAAATACCATGGTGTCACCTAAATATGTCTCCACAGCCTCCTGCCTACACCATCCACATACCTTACTCACAACACCCTGCCAACACCCTGCCTACACCCTGCCCACACCCTGCCCACACCCTGCCCACACCCTGCCCACACCCTGCCAACACCCTGCCCACACCCTGCCAACACCCTGCCCACACCCTGCCAACACCCTGCCCACACCCTGCCCACACCTTACTCATAACACCCTGCCCACACCTTACTCATAACACCCTGCCCACACCCTGCCCACACCAGCCATATACACGTACACTGTGCTAACACCACACTGCTAGCTCTGTCATTACCTCCACAGCCACCTGCCGACAACATCCACGCACCTTGCTCACTACCTCCTGCCCATGCCAGCCACACATTCTGCGCTAACATTGCACTGCTAGCCCTGTCACTGCCTCTACAGCCCCCTGCCTTCAACAACCACGCACTCTGCACACAGCCTCCTGCCTAAAATAACACCGCTAGCCCTGAAACCTACCTATACAGCCCCACATTCTCACACAGCTTTTAAAAGACCCACCCTCTCCTGGCATATATACCGGCATGGTCGGCACCCCATTTTCATGTTGCCTGATGATTGCAAGAGCATGACACTTTAATGTCCTTGTTGTTCTGTAAGTGACAAATACGAACATTTTGACCGAAAGGTGTAAGATGTAAGGTGTAAGGTGTAAGATGTAAGGTGTAAGGTGTAAGGTGTAAGATGTGGGAAAGATAGCATGAAAATGTGTGGCTAGGTGTCGTGGTGAAAATTTCACCTGAATCAAAATATTAACACGGAGTAGATAAGGGATAGCACGCCATACGCATGAGCCAATGTCTACAACATGACAGCATGATTGCACAAACACCGACACATACAACAACACTTACATGATGATTGTAGAACAGCAACTACAGCACCACCCATAGCATGGTACCATAACTAGGGCTGAAACAATTATACCGATAACTCGCATATCGATCGTTAAGAGTGCAATCGATAATCGTTAGTGTTCGAAACGAGTGCTAACGATTTATTATGCATGCATATCAGTGACAGTATTCTAGCCCTTGCACTCCATCCGATAGTGAATACGAGTACAATCATGTACTTCCAAGCGCGGTAAAATTGATTTGTGGATTTGAAAGAGATCGGGAGAGAAGACTTTGTCTTTTTGGTTCATTTGTGTGAGAGGTTGGAGATAAGAGCAGTTGCCAGAGGGTGATGACAAGATTCTTTGCTCTAGAAACAACATGAAATTCTCAAGTTCATGTTGATAAAACCAGGCAGATTTCCACAGATGTCAACAGTGCGGTGCCACAAATTTCTAAGGTACCAAAGGTATCATGGAATTTCTTCGTAAACTGGTGTGCGAGGTACACGAGTAGAGCCGACAAGAATCGATAAAACCAATATATCGATCGTTAATGATATTGGTTGATCGTTAGGAGTTATTGAATGATCGTTTCAGCCCTAACCATAACCCCCCCCCCCCCCCCCCCCGGAACAAGAGAGAATGAATGAAATGAAGAACAGGACAAGCACCCGCAGCAGCAGCCACAACAATAACAACAACAACGACAACAACAACAACACCAACCATGTGAGAATAAAGGATTCAACAACAACAACAACAACAACAACAACAACCACAACAACAACCACAACCACAACAACAACAAGCAGCAGCAGTGGCAGCAGTAACAACAACAACATCAACAGCAACAATACTACAGAACGTTGAACTTGGTATCAGTGATGAGTGTACACATCACCCAACAACTGCCATCCATTGTCACTGCAATCATGCTGTCATGTTGTAGACATTGGCTCCTGCATCTGGCGTGCTATCTCTTCATCTATTCCGTGTTAATATTTCGACTCGGGTGAAATTTTCACCACAGCACCTAGCCACACATTGTCATGCTATCTTTCCCACACCTTACATCTTTAGGCCAAAATGTTCGTATCTGTCACTTACATAATCTCTGTTTTGTCTGCAGTGACTACATTCCTGAAGATGGGCCTTGCCGGAAAATTCGAATGATTATCTCTTTTTTCTTTTAGTGATTGGTGTAGCCCAGAGACTGTTTGGAGAGTGTCGTGAAGATGTATGGGTATAGTGTTGGCCAACGGTGTCCTGATCTGTTCTCGCTTGTAAGCAACCATAACTATCATAACAGGTGGGTGATGGCTGCTGTGTTTGACTGCTAGTGCACTGGATTATATTTGTGTTCTGGTGTGTTGTGTGTTGCTGCTGCTGCTTGCTGTGATGTAATCATAGAGCATCTCATCCTCAGAGAGTGGCAGCCTGCAAGCCAAGGGTAGGTGCTTACTACCAACTGCGTTCACCCAGAATTATCATTCGTGTGATTACTTGTCAAGTGCTAGCTCTCTCTCTCTCTCTCTCTCTCTCTCTCTCTCTCTCTCTCTCTCTCTCTCTCTCTCTCTCTCTCTCTCTCTCTCTCTCTCTCTCTCTCACACACACACACACACACACACACACACACACACACACACACACACACGGTTTG